CTCATTAAAACAATGGCAACAAGCAGAGTGTTTAGCACACGAATGCACATGGGGTTACAAGTGAAGCAGGCAAAGGCGAGAGGGTACCGGCCTGGGGCTGACAGCTCGTGCCCATGGGAGTGGTGAATGTGTGTGTGTTATGTGGAGTTCTGTGGTGGCGTCTGGCGTGCGCGGAGTTTGAAGGCGCTTCGTCGACCGGTAGACAATTGGCCGGAGAAAAGAGGCACCCGTGCTGGCCAACCGGATAGATAGACGCATAGATGGATGGATGGACGTTGGTATGGATGAACGGACTCACGAGGTGGCCGATTGAGACTCGAATTGGAATGTCAAACCTCGGCAGGATGGAAGGGGTTAATAGGCTGTATCGGACAGCTAAGGGGGTGGGGTGGGGGTGGAAATGACTCCGATAGCCTCAGTGGTCGTGCCCTCTACAGGCCCGAATTTCTCGCGCATAGCACACCGACAAATAAATGGGCACACGGTGATGGATAGATAGACCGGTTGGATTGAGTAGGCCACTGAGCGACTCAACAACTGGCAACAAAAGGACACACAAACATGGGCCCAAGGGTATTAGTGGTGTCAGGAGAGAGTGAAGATTGGACCGAAAAGTGCAAGACAACTCGCCAGTTAACAGACGCTCTTGTATATGCCCACAAGATGACATACAACTAGACAGTGAGGAAGACAAGCATACACACACACACACACAGACGAAAATATGGACAGGAGTAAAGTATGAAGAGTGTAGAGACAGACCAATGCACAAATGATAGCTATACATTGAGCTAACTGGACATACAAATGGAGATAACACCTACAAATACATACATACATACCGAGGCGCCGAATGGGAGGGAAAGACATACCGACATAATGATGGAAAATCGAAAGATAAACCCATACAGAGACATACCGATTTGCAGATGGATATATACGTGATTAGAACGATAGATGGACATACAGTCAGTAAGACAGACACATAGACAGGCAGATGGGCATGCAGAGAGAGAGAGAGAGAGATATTGGTAGAACGATAGATAGATTACGGATATATAAATGGATGGAAAGATGAACTAAAATAGTTTTCTGTGAATACAGAACATCTTGGTTTGTGGGATTAATGCTTTTATGGAGGGAAGGTGAAGAGAGGGTGAAAGGAAATTGACAGAACTGATGGGTGGAGGAGCAGCGGTCTTGGACAAGCGCCACTTGGGGAAAGTCGAGTTGTCGAGGCTACCGGCATTGATCATTGCGACGGGATCGATGCCGTTGTTGACTGAGCATGACTGTTGGCTGTGTCGGATGGAAGGCTGGTTGGCTGGCCGGTGAGTCGATTGGCTGTGTTCGTGTGCGGCCGACTGGTGGCTCGACGAGACGTCGAGTTGCTGGGGGGCTCGAGACGGGGCAGGGTGTTCTGAAGACAGGGTTGTCCGGTTGCGAGGGCGGTGAGAAGAGTGCGAGCCAGTTTGAAGAGGATGTGGCGAGAAGAGAGCGACGGGATCGTCGCATTCACCGACGGCCGACGGAGGATTGTGTGCAGAAGACAAGTTCCCAATTCACAGTTTCGCCACACCGACGAGCCCGTGCTGACCTTTCGTCGGCCGCGTCATGTGGCCAACAGCGTCAGAACGAGAAAACATATTCGATGCCCGAGGAAAGACGTTATACTTTTGCTGTACTAATTGCATATGCGAACACAAACAGACACATACACATACTGAGACAGACGTATGATCGTAACTAACCAAATCAGGATACCACTTTTTAGCGATTTGCCGGTGAGTTTTCTTGACTCGTTATGTTGAATTTTGTCGTGACAATGGTACCTTGCTCTGATGATGTCCGTCATGTGACGGTCGAGAGGTTAGCACCTTTTCCCCGGAATCGAATGAGATTGCCTCGGAAACAGCGTCAGCATGAATGTTCCAGTAAAGCCAATCGACAGCTGGTCAAGAGGAGCCGACCTTCGAATCTCTTCACCCAACACTTTCACTCGAAATGGAAGTGAGCTCAACAATTATGAAACAATAGATTCTTCGAAACCCAACTTTTAAGTATTATTGACAATAATGGCTCCGCCTACAGCGTCTCAAGTTATGGCACACTTCTTTGTGAGTCGAATACAAACAAGTCCGAGGTTGTGATACGACTAGAGTGTGACAATAGGATATAAAAGTAAATAGATATGCCATGACAGAAAGAGGAGTTGTAGCAC